CTAGAATTAGGCCCTTCCAGTTTGGATTCAGAAAAAACTGTTCTACTACTCAGCCTATACACGTTCTTCGCCGCCTCCTCGAGATACATGAAAGGCAGCCTTCCCCGTTTCATGCTCTTTTCTTAGACTGGTCCAAAGCCTTTGATTCGGTTACCTTCACCGCTACTCAATCAGCCATGACATTTATTGGAGTCTCGCCTCACGTGTCGAAAGTTATTATGGCCCTTTATAATAATCCCACCTTTAGAGTCAGGGACTCTCAACATGTCTCTGAAATTAAAACTCAAACTAAGGGCCTAAGACAGGGTTGTCCCCTTTCTCCATATTTGTTTAGTATGGTCCTCTCTCATCTTTTTCACGATGTGGAATCCCAGTATACTGCTCTTTATGGCCTAATCCCAGGAGTTATACACACTCCTTCCCCCTTGTGGGACATGGAATATGCTGATGACACGGTTTTATTAAGCAAGTCTTCGCAGCATGCTACCAGGATGCTCCACTTGATCCAGCATTATGGGGCCCAAAGAGGGCTCCATATTAATGAAGAAAAGTGCGATCACCTTAGGTTAAACGCAGATCAAAGAATCTATTATTCGGCTGATACTTCCTCTCCCGCCTGCATATGTGACTCCTGCACAGGTCAGGGCCCTGTGGGGCCCCCAGTTCCCCTCTCAAATGAAGTTAAGTACCTAGGTGTATATCTGGACACTTCCGGTAACTCCCGCAAGAATACTTCATACCGAATCTCTCAAGCCATTCATTCTTCAAAGCTACTCAAGCCATTACTTTCCCACGCCTCTCTTCCCCCTTCCTGGAAGCTCACGGTCTATAGGTCTATAATTTTGTCTATCTTGATGTACGCTATGGACAGTGTCCTTTTGTCTCCTGCCCAGCTTGTTAGACTCAATTCTGTTTACTTTCGCTCTCTCCGACGAATCTTTAAAGTTAAGTCATCCTACTATCACAGAGTTCTCAACCAATCTGATGCCGAGTGTTCTAACGAATATCTCGATGGTCTTGCTTATTCGCGTCGAGTTATTACGCCCTCCCAGTATTACTCACAACAACGACTTAAGCTATTCGGTCATCTCTTTGGGCACCCTACATCATTGGAATACCAATCCTCGTTTATGCCCTCCGGTGCCTATCGCTTTATTCCGGGCCCAAATAGGGTAGGCCGACCCCGCCTACACTGGGCCGAATCCTGCATGGCTGAAGCGGCCAATAGAATCGATTATCTCCTTTCTGATAGTCCCCCTCTCCATTCTGATATCCATAACGCATATTTCTCTATTCCTTCCACCCAGGAGGTACTTAATCTCCACACTTCTCAAAGTGTAGTCTGGATGGAAAATACCCTCCTTTACCGTAAGGTTCGTACTTTCGCTTTCTCTAGGAATGATTGGGTTGCACTCCTAAATAAGCCGAAGCGTGCTAATTTCTCGTAATTCTAATAGCTTGATTTTTTGTGTCGGCGCTGATGGGCTCCGAGATCGAGCCTTTCGCAGAGCAAAAAAATAACTGCCAATATTATGGTTCCATATTCCTTGTATAATTATAGTATAGGCTACCTCAAATGGACCTCAACATGATGTTGGTAATTACTTAGGCCTATATCATTTCATTCTGTTTCTGCGTTGAAAAGGGGTTTTTTCCAGAAATTAGAGTCCCAGGCCTTAAACCCCAAACCCTATACATCCTAACCCGCGTGTTCGGGGTATAATATGAGCTATAGTCCACACTCCTCGTATCCCCCTGAGTAACCCTTTTTGTATGTAGTCCACTATATAATCCCCTTGAAGAGTTTAGACTATAACTCACATAAGAGCCTAAACCCTAAACCTCTAAACCTTTAACCCTACAAGATGGACCCCTATTTTATGCATACCGTGAGCCCTCTCGAGGTTTGCACCTGGCGCTGAAGGCTACCTTTCCATCTTTCCCATGTCAGAATGCCCCCCCTTGTAAGGTTACTCAGGGACTACAGGGCTTTGATACGGTTATGTAGGGATTACTTAGGGATTTCATACGCTTATTTAGTATTTAGGGACTACTTATGGATTTTATGAAGTTATTGGGGAATAATTCAGGGATTTTATAAGTACGCATCGTCTGTCCGCTCACCTTTCACCCTAAACCCTAAATCCTAAACCCTGAACCCTAAACCCTAAACCTGAACCCTAAACCCTAAACCCTAAACCTAAACCCTAAACCCTATCGCTTGTTTTGCAGATTCTTGTGTTCCTTGCTCCATCGAAGCAACCTTGAGCTCTGTGCCTTAGTTTCAACAACTAGGTGCCCCAGTAGTACCCTTTTGCCCTTTTTATTTTGGGGTCTCCTTATTGAAATGGAATAGTAGGAAAAAGGGTACCCGTATTATAGGGGGTTTACTGGGGAACCTAGACAATGAATCTGCAACTTGAACCTCCACTCTCCATTCAGGAAGAAGATACTACAAGGTTCCTGAAATTGTTTTTAATTTCTGTTACCTAGAATCCTCACATTTAGCTGAAATTAGAATTTCTACTGGGGTTCCAAATCCCTTAGAGGATGGTCCCCGCTCTAAACCCTGAACTTCAGGCCCCAAACGCTAGACCCAAGCTTTCTGCCTGTTAAAGGTACATGTGAGCCCGGAACTTCGGGCCCCAAACGCTAGGCCCCAAACCAGCCTCTTTCTGGCTGTTAAGGACACATTTGAGTACCTGGTGACAGCTATTGGGTCGCTATCGGGAGCCGCTAGGCCGGCACCTGGAGATGGGTCTCAGGGCCAGAGGAAATTAGGGGTAGCTTTAAAGGGTTTATAGGGGTTATATACGGATAATGGAAAAGAAAATGGAAACTATTATTTAGGGTTGAAGGGGCTATTCCCGCAAGTGTCTGGCAGGCGCATGAACAGCTTCTTGAATGCATATGCCTGCTCCTCATGGCAACTCGTCTCAAGCTAAAAGGGGGAATGACTGTAGAAGTCGGAGATTTAGTCTTCTTGTACCTTCATGGTTACAGCCAAAGTGGGCGAACAGAGTCTGGCTTTCTTGCGAGTTCCAGAGGGCGCTGTAACAGCTTCAAAGCCGCTGGGGTGGGGCGGCCCGAAAACTGCAGATCTACCATCCTTCAGCGTTTGCCGTGCAGCATGGAAGAAGGCCCCACAAGAAGAGCTAGTCAGCAGCGATGCCGAGATGATCAAGAAGCGTTCTCCCCCAGCAGTGAGCTCCCGCTTGTCGAGGGATTTAAAGGGGCTGGACAAGCTTCTGGCTGGAGATGTTTCCGACGACGACGACGAGGAGGATGACGAGACCGAGGCGGAAGGCAGCCAAGCGGGGTATTTAGCACCGGGAGCCAGCCGAAAGAAGTTGCAGGCTTCAAAGGGCAAGAAGAAAAAGGAGAAACCCCAGACTCTGGACTTGCAAACGTTGCTTCAGGCTGGGGTGGCCAGTGGGAGCGAACCGCGGGATCTCCTAACGATGATGGTTTTGAATCAGCTCGTCAACCAGCAGGCCAAGGGCTCAAAACAGAAGAAGAAGAAAAAGAGAGCCAGCAGCTCAAACGAGCTGCTTGGTGGCTCAAGCTCAGACTCTTCGGCCAGCGGCGACAGCGATCACAGCGATCGAGGTTTGAAGGCGGTCTCCTCACTGCATCGGCTCCACGAGAAGATCCAGAAGAAGCCCAAAAGGGTATGCCAAATCTTCGAGGCTGAGTGCATCAAGGAGCTCGGGGTAGTGCCAGGCCAGGCCTGGACCATGAGAGACTTTGTAAAGAAACAGCCACGGGGGCGGTTCAAAGGTCTCTTCCGGTGCGCAATCATGGACGTGGCCACCTCCTACGAGCTTCTTCGAGCAGGCAAGGCGGACATAGCCGCCGCGCCGACAGTGCAGAATCTGAAATCGAAAATGCAGGCGGTCCTGGCTGGAGGAGATTGGGAGGCAGCCTGGCTCCAACGGGGCTGCCAGATTCGAAGGAAGAGATGTCGATTGTGTCGGGCTATGTGGACGCCCTTGCCCGCCTGAAAAGGAAAGTCAAAACCACCACGAGGCCGAGGAGGACGAAGCCCCTCCAGGTCCCAAGAAGTGAATCCCCTGAACTGACCTTAGGCGGCCGGTCCTGGAAGGAGCGAATTCGCGTTTTATCAAGTACTTGAACTGGTTCGAAGGCGTCCAAGGTGCTTTGCCAGAACGGTCTGGCGATGCATGTCCGCTATTTCCATCTGCACTTCCTTATCCTGAAGTCTTGCAGCTCGAGACTGCAGTTGATAAGGCGCAGGCGCAACTGATTTGGGCTAAGCAACTCCTTAATGTTTTGTGGCTTGGTCTAACTTTGTTGTGCTGGGCTGTCCTGGTGGTGCACATGAGCCGCGAGTAACTTATCGATCGGCGTGCGAGGCCCAGTGCTTTGCTGATAGGTTGCTTGGCGAGGCCCTTGAATTCGCAAGTCCTGACCTAGTTTTGGGCCGCCTGCGTTGTGAAGGTAAGCGGGCGACTGTGGAGAATTTACTTCAGCAGGTCAGTGCCTTTGCGTCCACAGGGTATTGTGAATCTTGTTGGAGTTCAGATGTTTTGTCTTCGTCCACTGCTTTGCCGGTGCTGTCCTCTCGAGTGGCGGTGCCTGAGGAAGAAGGCATGGTCGATCCCCTTGATTGGCTGGCTGCTGAACGCCCTTGCTGAGAAATTACTCCAAACAAGCATGGTAGTTCTGGTTCCAATCTGAGCTTCCCCGAGATCAAAAAGGGCACCTTATGCAGGGTGGCCTTTTCTGTGTCCAGAAAAATGCCGAGGAGGACAGGCTCATCTTCGATCAACGGCCAGAACATGCTACGATGCCGAGGCTGGACTGGGCTGTGCTACCTTCTGCTGCATGCTTCACGAGAATGCTGTTGGGGGAGAATCAGTTCTCGCGTGGCTCGGGGGACAATTTGAGGATTTTTTATTATACCTTGAAGTTGCCCCCGAATTGGGTTCGGTTTAACTCTGTAGGTAGGAGGGTCTCAGCCAGAGTTTTGGAGCAACATGGCCGTGATCCCAATGTACCTCATCGTCTCTGCTTTCGTGTCCTCGGCATGGGTGACCGCAATGGATGTGCCATCGCTCAGGCTACGCACGAAGCCATCTTGAAGAAAGTGGGCTTGCTATGCCCTCAGCAGACTTTAGCGTATGGAAAGCAGACTCCCAGTGGCGATGTGTGGCAAGGTGTATATCTTGATGATCTTAGATGGCTCCTTCGTTCCCCCCGTACCTCAGGTCGATGATCCGGACATGGTGCTCACGAAGGCGGCTGAGGCTGGCTATGAGGATGCTTCGCTGAAGCGTGCTCTCCACAAAAGCTTTCGTGCAGAATGTCATTTCAAGGCTTGGGGTGGCGAGATTGATGGAGTACAAGGACGAGTTGGGGCTCCCAAGGCCGTGCGTCAGCAGGTGTGGTACTTGATCTCCATAGTTGTTGAGAAGGGTTGGGCTTCGGAGGCAGTGGTCTAGAAGATCAATGGGTTCCTGGCTTTTGCTTTCCAGTTCAGGCGGGAGCTATTCTGCTTGCAGCACCGCATTTACACCTATGTTGCAGACATGCGCCCAACGAAGTGGGTTCGACTTCCGGGAGGCATCGTAGACGAGCTTTGGAGCATGAGCATACATTTAGTGTTTGCAGAGTGGCGTATGCGACGCAGCTTTGCCCCTCCATACTGGCTACCGATGCTACACCGACATCAGGTGGGGCTGTCCGCGCTGAGGCTCCGCCCAAGCTTGTTAGTGAACTTCTGAAGTGCGAGGTGCTCCTGTGCGTCTGGATCGATCCCTGGAGGCTGATAGATTCGAGGCTCCTCGGGAGACGTCGCAGTTTGCCAGCGCATGTGCAGAAAGTTTGCCTTGGGCGGTCGCATCTAGCTATGCGTTTAGGGAGACAAGCCACATCAACCTTCAGGAAGCTCGAGCTCTTCGGCGCGAGATTCGGCGCTTGGCCAGTTGCTTTGACAATGCAGGTCGGATACAAGTTTGCTTGAATGATTCTATGGTTTGTGTGTTTGCCTTTTCGAAGGGACGTTCCTCATCCTTGAAGCTGAACAACATTCTCCGAGGGTTGTTGCCTTACCTTGTGATGGGTGATGTTGCTCCTGCCTTGCTGTGGATAGAGACGGCCGCCAACTTTGCAGACCATCCTTCACGCTTCCGTCCACTTCCTCCTCCTTGCGTACCTCTAGGTTGGTTGCAAGATTTCGGCATCTTCGGACCTAACACCTTCTGTGGCTTGGAGGTGTTTGCAGGCTCTGCTCGGATCACTCACACCCATGTTCAGGCTGGGCCTCCTATGCAACCTTCAGTGGATGCTCCTCCATGTTCCTCTTTCTCACCACTGCGGAATCTTGAGGTGGACCTTGGCGCCCAGCTGGATATCCGGCAAGGAACGAGGAGGATCCCGAGGTGGCATTAGCGAACCGGCTAGGGCGGTGGGCGTTGGAAATCAGCACCCTGATAGTCCAGGCGAATGGCTTCTTTGTGCTCGAGCACCCCCGTGGCTCTGGGCCCTGGCCGAAATTGAACGCATGCAGAAGTTTCAAGGTGTTCGCAGCCATCATGTGGATATGTGCGCTTACAGCGGTGCCGTGAACTTGTCCCCCAAATCAGAAACCAACCACTTTGCTTTCACGTGCTCCCTGGGTTCTTCAAGTCCTTCGACGTTGTGCTGGGGATCATGTGCATGGTCGTCCTTTGCGTGGGGTTTGAGCTAAAGCTGCGGGTGCCTACCCCCAGGAGTTTGCGGTAATCCTTGCCGATGCCTGCTTCGCTTGGGCGTCAGGGAGGGCGGCTCAGTGAAAGGATTGTTACACCACAGTACCGGAGGCACCTGAAGGAGGCGGGGGATTGGGCCCTGGAAAAAGTGGCGGATTTGGGCGGTCGCCTAACCTCTAGAAGTTTGTCGCGGAGGGTGGATGAGTGGTTGGAACAATTGGTGGAGTGGTCGTATCGCAATGGTGAAAAGTTGTACTGGGTCACCCTGGGAGTCCTCAGCCTACAGAGGCGCTACAAGCTGTCGGCTCCTCTGCTTCCAATTACATGGTCAGCCATCAAGGCTTGGCGCCTCTTGCAGCCCCAATAACTTTCTACGTTCTCCGGTGTCTCGGAAGGGTGAATGGCACAGCTCCGCCACTGCGGACGGAGTGGATGTCCACAATGCTAGCAACTTGGCTTTCCTTTGAAGGGATGCTCCGTCCCGGGGAGGTTGAACGATTGATCATCTCAGATTTTTGTTTCCCAGAGGATGTGGAGATGTCTGCGGCGTGGGGTTAGTGATCACGATCAGACAGGCAAAAACACGCAGAGTTTGGGCCAATCAATTCACCATCGTCCAAAACCGGACTTTGGTAGGCTGGCTAAAGTGGTGGTGCTCGAGTTCCGGCTCGGCGCTCATTTTCTTCAACTCAGCCGTCGCAAATGGGGCAAGGATGCGCTGGAGAGCCTGCAGCTAGGCCAGTGCAGCCTTACTCTAGGGTCCCTGCGTGGTGGCGGGGCCGCTTCAAGACTGAGCAGAACTTGGGGTTGTTACAAAACGGCCGCGGCCTACTTTGACTACTCGGAGGCCAAGCGCTAGCCGAAGGACTGAAGTGCCCCCAGTGCTTGAACGTGCCCCTGCCAATGCCGCGGCTTTGGGTTCAGTGCACGCGGAAGCAGCTGGTGGGGTCATGCAAGCCGTCCATGCAGCAGCCAATGCCCTAGGATCAGAAGCTGTTGACGAGGGAGGCAGGAATGCTTCGCAAGCTCTTGAGGATCCTGAGGGGGCGGCTCAAGCCGCTCGGTGGAGGTCAGGCAGTGCTACGCGGCGCGTGACGTCCATGTTGGCTCGTGTAGCTCAGAGCCTGCGAGCCTGGGTGAATAATCCAGGAAGGTGGCCCTGCAGCAGCGCCTGGGCTTGCTCCAGTGCGACCTCGACCATTGCGAACTGGTGCTTCCCAACCGGACGGTGCCACTCAACGTGTAGATGCCCCGTGGTGGTCTTGGCGGCCCTCGCGCTGGAAGTGGTCAATTTTCTTCATCTTGGGGATCGCGGTGTTGTTCCCTCGGATTGTGGCTCTCTTGATCGCTCTAGTCATACGCTTGATTGATCGAGCTGTGATGGGACTTACCTTGCAAGTCCTAAAAGAGCTTTGGGCGCAGGCTCTTTTGGCCGCCGCCGCAGTGGAGGATAATTTTGCTGCGTGGTTGAACGTGCAGCTCGGGATAGTCATGGAGCCACCTCCTTTACTGACTCATGGGCCAGCTGTAGCACCGCAGGCTCCTGCAACTATGCTGCAGCCCCACCCAACCCGGCCCATTGATGTGCTGATTATTCTTCTCCTCGGCTACAACATCCGATTGGGATGGGGCGGTCAGGCCAGAATGGGATGAGTGAAACTCATGCAGCATCTTCGATGGCTTGATGGAAGAGTTTTTGGGCATCTTCGCTTCGATACGTTCGCTTCAGTGCCCGACCATATGTGTGTAAGACCTCGATTGACGCAAGCACGGGTCAAGTCAAAAAGGAGTGATGTGCAGTTCTTTCAGTCAGGGTTATCTCCAACTTGCCTTGAGGAGAACTACGAGGTGGGAATTAGGGTTTAGGGCTTCGGGGTTTCCCAAAATTAGGGCTGCCATTTTGGGGTCCCCATAGTAAAGACTATAGTATATTGGGGTCTATATTGGGGTCCCTTATTTAGGGAAATTATCTTATCTATATGAGCTTGGCCCGTTACCTTGGTTCTGAGCCTTGAACGTTTTTCCACTTATCCTTTCAGTGAAGTTTACTTGACCTTGGGCTTAGGAATTGAGCCGTAAGCCCTGCACCCAACGCTCTAGCCCTTAGGTCTCTTGCTTGTTAATAGTTTCAGTTGGGAGGGAGGAATGGAAGACAAATGGGAACTTCCACATTATGTAGGTAATGTAGGATTGGATCCGTGCAGCTTCGGGGTGGCTTCGATTTTTCACGATTCCGTTTTGACCATGCCCAAACCAAACTGTAAGCCACAAATTCGAACTCCCAGATCTTGAATTTGCAGCCGAAGCGCTGCAGGTTCACAAGGGGATGTAGGTGTGGACACAGGGTTCGTAGTCGCAATTCATCATCATCATCGTCTAACATTTTTCCAACCAACATCCATGTCTGGAGAACCCCAACAACCCAGGAAGCGTGCGTGGAGGAGGACGAGCTCAAAGAGTTCGTGCTCCCATACCTGGAGGACATGGGCTTTGCCAACCCTTTCATGGGGATTACTACTACTATATTATAGAGTATATTGTGGTTGTATAGGGGTTATGGAAAAGAAAATGGAAACTGCGACATAATAGGGGGCAGATAAGGGATATATCGGGGTTATACAAGGATCATGGAAAAGAAAGTGGCAATTATGATAATGGGGTTTAGGGTTGAGCCCTGCGGTTCAGGCTCTTCAAGCTTGCTCCCAAGCTCCATAAGGTCCGAAACCCTAAACCCTTAACCCCAAAACCCTTATCCCGTAGCCCCAACCCTTAAGTCGTGTAGATTTCGTCCCAAAAGCGGGGTTTAAGGTTTAGGATCTCCTAAACCCCAAACCCTACTTCTGCCTTCAAACACGAATTATTCTGCGGCTTTCAAACTTCATCCATGCGCCTGGTGGATCCAAACGGGCGCCTCAAGAATCAATCGCAGGGTTTAGGGTTTAGGGTTTTTGGAGATCCACACGTTGCCCAGTAGCATTTAGTTTCCGGCAATCCCACGCTCAAAGCACGGGCAATGCCGTACGGTCCCAGATCTTGGAGGGCAAGGCTTACCAGAGCATTCTTCTCATTCTAGAGCGAGTTCCTCAACCCTAAACACTAAGCCCTGGACCCTAAGCCCAAGCCCGAAGCTCGAAGCCCCAAAGCCTCAGCCTTAAACGTACGTAAAGCCTCAGACCATGACCCACCAGACCCTGGACTCGCAACCCTATATATACCCGTATATATTTGTAAAAGTTTTGTAAAAAAATTTAAGATATGTTGATACAACAGCCCGTATTTAATCCTGGAGGAGGCTGGCTTTAGTCGACTCCTGGATGGCCTTCTGCGGGCACTTTGTCCAGATGCTCAGCCAAGTGAGGAAGATCGTGCCAGACCAGGTGAGCATTCAAACTGGTAGGATTGAGGGCTTAGGTAGGGCTTAGGGCTGAGGGTGTGGGGCCTAGGGTTGAGGGTTTTGTAGCAAGGGTTTAGAGTAGATGATTTGGGCTTTTGGGACGCAGATGGGTTTTAGGGAGGCAGTGGCTTGAGAGTGTAATATTTCGGGTCAAAAAGCATTCGAGTGTGTAGAGTGAGTGCATCGCAAAACCCTTACACCCTAAACCCTTAAACCCTGAAGCCTACGTTTTGACTTAGACCCTAAACCTTAATCCTAAACCCTTAACCCCTTAAACCCTGAACCCCTAAATTCCGAAACCCAAGACCTTAAGCCCGCAGCCTGAGCCCCTGCACAACCCGTAATTGCCTGGCTGCACGAGCCACAAGTTTTTTAACCTTCAGGGTTCGGGGTCTCACAAACGAACCCTGTAAAAGGGGTTATTGCCTAAGGGACCCGTCTAATGGGTTGACTGCAGAGATGGATAGAGTTATGAGCGTAGGACCTCTATGGTTAAATGGGTAGTTCCCAAGATTAGGGTCCCGCTTCGGCACCCCTAAATATTAGGTGCCGTAATAGAATCTATACCCAAAGGGTGCCCATAGTTTTGGAAACAACCCGCACGACAAGTCTTTTTTTTCCTTGCAATAGCAAAATATGAAGGCCTACTGGCCTGAGGACTTTAAGAATCTGAATGATGCTTGGCTAGACGGACCTTGAAAACGTGCAACAATTCGAAGAGCAAACATCTGATTGCTGAGGGAAGACGGGTCCTTCAGAAATTTTATCATCTTGAACCGCAAAAACACGTGTAAATTGTTAGAATAGAACTCTCTGAACTTGATTTTAGACATCTAGAAATTGGGAAAGATACGTCTGGCGAACGAGCATTCAGATTTTTTTGCACTTCAAAAATTTGTAAGTATTCTTTGATTTCTCCCTAAACTTCAAAAGGTCCGTATCGCCAAGAGCATTCAGATTTTTGGAGAGTTTTTGTGGTAAATTTCAGATATTGGAAGACATAACAAATTCTGAATAGGACTCCTCTGATTCTTACTAGATTCAAGGGCAATCTTTTCTTTCCATTCGATTCTTCGTAGGAACTCTCCTTTTCTTTCTAAATACTCCGTGAGAATCCTCTCATTCAAACCTGAATAGGGGTCGTCTCAGTCCTATTAGATTTTCCCATTAGCTTCTAAGTAGGGGTTCTGAATAGGAGTCCTCTCATTCTTATGAGATTCTTCATGGTGGTCTTCTTAATACGAGCTCCCACTCAAATTAGATTCGGTTTATGAGCCGTGCGTGAGCCCTGTCATTCCTCTGGAGTCCGTTTGGCATCTGCCAGTGATGTTCTTCTGAGACATCGTAGATTCCCCGACGCACACACTTTTCAAGCTTTTGTCAGAAAAAAGGGAGTACTCACATCACAGGTAAGGGTCTACAGCAGTCTATGGCAAAGGAGCCATACGATCTGCAGTATTTTACATGGGACTACCTAAACCCTAAAAGCTACAACCCGAAACCCTAGCGTTTCGAGATCTACGGACCAAGGCTAAAAGCGGGTATACCATTGGGAAGTCCCGAACCAGGAGGGCTGCCTTTCGGGACTTAAAGAGAGGGTGCAGGCGGGCCTCTTTTGAGGGCGTTCTTGTTAGAAGCCTCCCAGTTGTGTAGGGGTTGGTTTAGACTAAATTCTATGTAAGCTCTATGTACCCTTAAATGACCCTGACTTACCTCTATGTAACCTTCATATGGTCCCTAAGCCACCATTCCCTAAACCCCAAACCCTAGAGACTAGACCCTAAACCCTAAACCCTAGAGACTAGACCCGAAACCCTAGACCCTAGACTCTACATGATGGCTGAGCTCCGTTGTCGGTGAGGCGACCATCTGTGTCACATTCCAGAGCTAACCTTGCATCTGACTCGCTCTGGAAGTCTTTGCTAGTTGTTTTTTGGGAGTAAGGGTCTGGGGTTTTGGGGTTTAGGGGTTTTGGGGTTTTGGGGTTACGGGGTTAGGGTTTAGGGGTTCAGGTGTTTAGGGTTTAGGGGTTTATGGGTCTAGGGCTTATAGGGTTTAGGGCTTATAGGGTTTAGGATGTGGGGGTTTAGGGTTTAGGATTTATGCTTAGGGTTTAGAAGTCTTCGCTAGTTGTTTTTTGGGATTAAGGGTCTAGGGTTTAGGGCTTAAGGTTGCGGATTGAGGGTTCAGCAGTTAGGATTTACGTCTAGGGTTTACGGTTCCGTGTGGGACTTTGGGAAAATTCCGATTTTCTCTTATGACTTACTTTTTTGCAGAGGGTCTCATTGATGAGTGTTGACTGGCAGCCTTCAGAGCACGAGCCTTTTTAGGTCCAGGGTTCAGAATTTAGGACCTTGAAGGTTTAGGGTTGGGTCAAAACTGTCGGGTCTAGAGTTTGAGGCTTTGGGTTTGAGGGCAGGTCTTGGGGTTTAAGGTGGGCTTACAGCTTTTGGATTGGGGGTTCGAGGTGCTGCATTAGGTTTGCGAGTAGAGGCTCTAGAGGTGATAAATTTGTCAGGAGGGTTTCATGTCTCCTGGCTCTTGGGCTCATAGGGTTCAGGGTTTAGGGTTTAGGGTTCACTACATTTCACGAAGGCATCTCTGAACCAAATCCTAAATCCTAACCCTTAATCCTGGGCATTGTATTCTGCAACGAAAGACCCAAGCGCTTCAGCCACCAGACCCTCAGTTCTGACTCTGCTGGATCTCCAGTATTGGGGCAATATCCCTAAACCCGAAAGCCCTAAACAGTTTTTTCCATCTTTGTTTCCATTCCCTATGTACCTAAGGTCAATCCCCACTATAGTACTAGCTCCTTGACATGGAGTTAATATGGCTTTAATATACCTAGAACAGTCCCCTGTAGTTTCCATTACTGGGTGGAGGATTGACCGAATATGTATCCCTGTTCAACCTAAAACCCTAAGCCCTAGGCCCTAAACCCTAAACCCTAAACCCTAAACCCCCAATATTTTTTGACCCAGGCTCTATGGCGGCAGCACAAAGTACCTATTGAAGGATGCCACGCTTCGACTGCAGAAAGGCCCAGGGTTCAGGGTCACCAGGAATATCTCAGGGTTTAGGGTTTGGGGTGTAGGATTTAGGGTGTAGGGTTTCGGGATAATATGGGGACTATCAGGGAGTTAAGGATTTGGGGTTTCGGGGTTTCAGGTTTCGGGCTTAGGCTTGAGTGTTTATGCTTTAGGCTTCGGAGTTAAGGCTTTAGGGTTTCGGATCTAGGGTT